GCTACTGTCCCTGAAAATAACATCCCTGCATCCAGGGCCGTCGCCAGGAGTTTTTTTTTTGGGGGGGAGGGGGCGAGCTTCTGGCAAAATATATTATTTATTTTCACTTCTTTTTTCTAACATATTTTGATTAAAAGAAAAATACTAATAAAAATAAAATATTTCACATAAACAATAAAAAATATAATCGATAATCGCATGAGGCTATTGCCTGAAAATTTTAAAATGCACTTAGTGGCATTGTGACCTTCACCTTGATAATTTACCATGGCTTGCAGCAGTCGGAAAACTTGGATTTTGGAATATTGGCCAGCTTTTTCATCATTTCTCCCACTGTGCATTGTAACGATTTTAAGTTATTTTCAAAGAAATGTATTTTCAATTTGAAATCAAATTTTTTTCAATGAACGCACCATGGGCCAGCAGTTAATCAAAAGTGGCGAAAATTTGACAAATACAAATAAAGGCACACTTAGCCCGAGTTTAAAAAAAAAAAAAATTGATTAATTATTTCATTGCTGGCAGAAACTTAAACTTTGAAATTCTTTGAAAATCACGTTCCGCCTATTTATAGAAAACACCATATTATTTGAATTGCAAACATTTGATCCATTAATTTTCTTCAAAAGAAATATTTCAAGTTAGGGTGTCACCTCATCAAAGACGACAAACCAAATTGTTAATGCTGTGATGGGCGCGATAGCTCCACGTCGAAAATCTACAGTCACAAACGACACCCGAGAACACTCTCAATCGACTCTAAAACGTGCTTTAGCGGGAAACTTCTAACGGACCAGATATAAATGAGCAGTGGAAAACATCTCCCAATATCTTCGTCGTGGATACAATCACTCACACAGTATCATCACAAGCCACCCTGCAGCTAATTCCCCATGCCGGGAAGAGAGGGGGGAAATCGATTAATTAAGTGGTAGGGACTACATATGCATCTAAGAATTTTTTCAATGCTTTAAATCAGTATTAACGAATATTCTCAAAGTTTCGAGGTTTTCTGAAAGATACGTCTTGCAGCAATATAAATATTATATTTGTTACTATTACTGTGGGTTATAAAGTACTGGCAACTTTAAGATCTATTGTGACTTCTTCATGGACTTGAAGTGTGGATTTTAACCCAGTATCCGAGAAAAAATTTAGCATTAAGCCTAAATGTCTGAACTTCAATGCGCCCTCGGATATAAAATAATCCTTCAGGTGCGCCGTGCAGTCTGCATTGTCCTGTCAGAATTCCTGTAATATTTCTTAAGTTATTCTTAAGAGAGCCACCTCAGTATTTCCTGCCACATGTGTTTTACAGGGTAGTCTTTTATTACTACTAGAAACTTAGCCACCTGGCCTTATAGTTTTCAGACTATCAACACAATTACATAATTATCTATTACCTTTTCTAAGGAGCATAGAGAAGACGATGGGGTAAGCTTGGAAGAGTTGATTCTCTAAATTCCACAAGTAATGTGTATAAACGCGAATTTTGAATGAAACAGATGGACACTTCATCTTTATGAAAGGAACAGAAAACTGCAAGGGAGTAAACTACCGCATACCGACTTACCAATTACCCAGCTCAGTGTGAAGATATGAAGCTGAATAAAAATTAAATTTCATGTGACCATTTTCTGTTTAATAAATTTTAATTCATGTATTAAATAAACTTTGCGAAATACATAATTGTTGTAGAATAACCAATAAAATAGTTTACAATTGTATTCTTTATAATCTATTTATGTATTGTATATATGTAATAAGTATATTTGTTGGTAGCATTAATTATATAATTTTACATTGTGTATGTATGAATGTAGGTATTTAATAAATGCGTGTACGCACAATAGCTTATTGTTGCCAATTATAAAACCTTTCAGATTTATTCTCATAAGGTTACCAGGGCAATCCTGGCCACTGTCTTGCACCCACCACAGTTTTCGGAAGACAAAAGTCCATCGCAAGACAATTGTCAATTCTGGCAGCTATTTTGAAAGCTCTCTTTTGTCTTACGAGCAATTCTTAGCGTTTTTCTGTTTCTCTTTAAGTAATCGGTTTTCTAAATATGAAATAAAAAAATATGTATGTTTTTCCTTTTGAAAAAATAAAAAAAACTTAAAATCAAAAAAAAAGAAAATTTCACAAAAAATAATCAATTAAAAACAAAACTTATCTGTTTCTAAAATTTAAATTATTATTAAAAATATGCTTCTTTTTAAAACAATAAAATTTAAAAATTAAATGAAAATTTTATTGAGAAAAATAAAAATGATCAGTTCCTATAAATTAAATTGAATTAAAAAAAAATCTTTTTAAAATAGTATATTCAAAAAACTAAAAGAAACAAATATAAAAAATAAAATTAGAAAAAAGTACCTAAAAATAAAATAAGCTTCTAAAAACAAAATGAAATTAAAACTTGTTATTCTTTTTACAAAACAGCATCTAAAAACCAATAGAAAAAAAAAAAAGAAAAATCAACAAATTTAAATAAAGAAAAAAATAAAATTAATTGAAATCAATTTCTTTTTAAAACAAAAATCTTAAAATTAAAAGAGAAAAACTAAATAAATAGAATAAAGTAAGTTCCTAAATATTAAATAGAATCAAAAGTTTTCCTTTTTCTAAAAATTAAAAGAAAAATATATTAAATACCAATAAAAAGAAAATTTAAAAAAGTAAAAAAAGTCTAAAAATTAAATTGAGTAATAAATATTTCTATTTTAAAAGAGCAATATCTAAAAACTAAAAAAAAATAATTAAAAAATAATAACTTAAATAAATAAAATAAGTCCCTAAAAAGGAAATGGAGTTAAAAATATCTTTTTTAAATAATATAATGAACAGGTTAAAAGAAAGTTAAACTAAAGATAGAAAATTGAAAAAATAAAAAATTAAATGTTTCTAAAAATTAAATCAAAAAAATATGTATGTTTTTTCTTTTGAAAAAATAAAAACTTAAAACCAAAAAAAGAAAATTTCACAAAAAATATCCAATTAAAAACAAAATTTATCTGTTTCTAAAATTTAAATTATTATTAAAAATATGCCTCTTCTTAAAACAATAAAATTTAAAAATTAAATGAAAATTTTATTAAGAAAAAATAAAAATGGTAAGTTCCTATAAATTAAATTGAATTAAAAAAAAAATCCTTTTAAGTAGTATATTCAAAAAACTAAAAGAAACAAATATAAAAAATTAAATTTGAAAAAAGTACCTAAAAAATAAAATAAGCTTCTAAAACCAAAATGAAATTAAAACTTGTTATTCTTTTACAAAACAGCATCTAAAAACCAACAGAAAAATAAATTAGAAAATTAAATAAATTTATATAAAGAAAAAAATAAAATTAATTGAAAGAAAATTTTTTTTTAAAACAAAAAATCTTTGAATTAAAAACGAAAAACTATATAAATAGAATAAAATAAGTTCTTAAATATTGCATAGATTCAAAAAAATGTTCCTTTTTCTAAAAATTAAAAGAAAAATATATTAAATACCTATAAAAAGAAAATTCAAAAAAGTAAAAAAAAGTCTAAAAACTAAATTGAGTTAATAAATATTTTTATTTTAAAAGATCAAAAAAACAAAAAACAAAAAATAATTAAAAATAATAACTTAAATAAATAAAATAAGTGCCTAGAATTTAATTAAAAAAATATTATGTAATTTTTATTAACAATAAAATCTAAATGTTAAAGGAAAATTGAATTAAAAAAGAAAGAAATTAAATAGAATAAAATTAGTTTCTAAAAAGTAAATGCAGTTAAAAATATCTTTTTTAAATAATATAATGAACAGGTTAAAAGAAAGTTAAACTAAAGATAGAAAATTGAAAAAATAAAAAATTAAATGTTTCTAAAAATTAAATGAAAAAAAAGATAATTTTTTTTTTTAAAGAGAGAAGATCTAAAAACTAAAAGAAAGTTAAATAAAAAAATACATTCAACTATATTTAAATAAAAAATTAAAATAAATCCGTAACAATTTAAACTCAGGAAAAGTTTATATTTAAAATGAGCTTCTAAAAATTATATAGGCATTTAAAAAAAAAATATTACAAACTAGGTTTCTATAAATTGAACGGAGTTAAAAAAAAAAAATATTTTTCTTTTTTAAATAACAATCTAAAAAAAAGGAAATTGAAAAAATAAGTAAAATATATTATAATTTAATAAAAACTCGAGGAAATTAAAAAAATTTGTTTCTTAAAAAGAGACAAGATCCAAAAACGAAAGGAAAAGTATAATAAAAAACTAGATGAAAAAGGTACATAAAAAGTTAATTGAAAAAGAAAAATTTTCTTCGTGAAACAATAAAATCTATGAATTATAAAAAAATTAAATTAAAAAAGAAAAAGCAAATAAGTTCCTAAAAAGTCAATAGAATTCAAAAATATTTTTCTTTTTTAAATAATATAATTTAAATTTTAAAGAAAATTAAACTAAAAACAATAAAAAAATGTTTAAAAGGTAAAAAATAAAATAAGTTTCTAAAAATTTATGAAATGAAAAAATATTTTTATTTAAACATGATCTAAAAACTTACAGTAAAAAAATAAAAAATAAATTAAATTTATATAAATAAAACAAGTCCCTAAAATTTTATTGAAAAAAATTGTTTTATTTTTAAAGCAAGTACTAGAATAAAAAAAATTAAATTACAAAAAAAGAAAATCCGCTGCCCGAGGATTCGAACTTCTGATCTCTATAATGGCACGCCAGTGCTTTGCTCACTCGACCAGCGCGAGAAATATGATAAATGTAGAAGTGCTTTCCCTCAAAAGAGCTTTTCACCATTTAAGTTGGCGCATGAGCTATATTTGTAAGCCAGTCTTGCCAGAATAAAGAAAATCTTTCGACTATCTTAGCCAGCATTGCCCTATATAATTTCATATTTATTTGCTAAAGTTTTTCTTTTATACATGTTTGATGTGATTAATATTAAACATTTTTACCAGATAAGTACGTATCTTTAGAGTAGAAAATGCGAAAAGTTTTCGATATGAATTTCAAAGTTACAATGAGTGGTTTATTTTTGATTTTCATACATACATACATAAACACACTCGAAAATATGTGTGCTTTGTAAGCTTTTTATAAAATTTATACATGTAGGGCAAATTAAATTATTTAGTATGAAAAACGATGATTAGATGCAGCTATATGTATACTAATAAATATATGTATAAATAACATTTTTGCAGTTTCACTTCCATACCAAGATATGTAGGTAAGTAGATTATATAGTACATTGTATTTATGCACATTTATGTATATATTTGTATGAGCAATTTGCTTAATTGCTGGACATTTCATTGATGCGTACACTTGTCCTTGGACTTCTTTTTACGATCGTCGCTTGAATTTGATCGGCGCGTACCTTGAATCGGCATATAAGGCGGTGTGGGGCTTGAGCTTTTATCTGCAATTGATAAAAAGGCAGCGAGTTAGCAGTGATAGGTACAAATTGAGCGCGCTGACGTTCAAATACATATATACCAAAAGTACTCGATTGCGAGTAGTTCATGCGTGGCGCTAACTCATGTCTGTTGAGTGAATCATGCGAATCAATGGAGTAGTTTTCTGATCTGTAAGAAAATGCGAAGTTAGATACTCGTAGCATACAGCCTATCACTCGCTGTCACTCACCTGGTCATCGAATTGTGCTGCAACAGTTGCGCTTCTCCATTCGCGCTAATATTTAGCGAAGTGGGTCGCTGACCTGGCCGACAACTGTCCACTGGCAGCGTATAGATATCATCGTCGACGCGATTAAGCATAGCATTGTTGTGGAGGCCGCCACCACCGCCAGCGTTCTGTTGACTATTCGCGCTGCGTCGTCCACCCTCACGCGTCAAACTGCCATTGGTCAGTGTGCCATTGTGTTGTTGACGCTGCTGCAGCTGCTGCTGATTATGCAGCACATCAATGGGATTCGAGTACGCCTCCACGTCAATGATGTCCTCCTCCTCAACTGACATTTGCAGGACGCTTCCACTTTGGGCACTTGGATGCGCGTTCGTGTGTGAACTGTTGGCAGCGGCTGTTTGCGAGGCTGCCGCAGCATGTGTTGAATGTTTGCCAAAGGAGAGGCAGTCCTGTGGCAGCGGCAGTAGTGGCCCACAATGCATTCCATTCGTGAAGCTGCCATTTGAGCCGCATAGTGTGGTGTTGCCCGCACCGTCCTTTTGTTGATGCTTGCGTAGGCGCGCTTTTTCTTTGGCACGTTTTGCTTTGGAGCGCTCCTAAGTGTGGGTAATCATCGTTAATGATTTAAGGTACCGAAAGCGTTTTTTTTTTTGTTTTAATACTTACACGCTCTTGCAGCATTTTGGCTAGTTCTTTGTCCTGCGCTTCGATTGCCATCAGACGATCTCGTTCCTCTTGTGTGAGCCCGTCATGCGCCTCCATTTGCTGTAGTCGACGTGCCAGCAACTGAAAAAATATGGCATAAAAGGCGATATCTTAGTTTTCAAACGTCACTCAAAGGAGATATTGTAATGCAAATCTGTGCAAATTAGAATTCATTCCAGAAAAGCTCAAATCGCAAAAACATCGAAGATTAGCCAGAGAGAAAAGTAGTTGAGGAATGGAAAATGGAATTATGCTCAATGTCCCAGTCAATGATCGGCTCTCTTATCTAGGTTTAGGGACATATGCAGGAACATTGAATGCAATAGGAGCACTGTTGATTTGAGGTAGGCAAGAGCCTGTCTGGATGAATATGAATCGTACGCACTGGATTGCTCTCTAAAGAGAAATTGTTCGGAATTTCCTAGGACTGGCTGTAAACAAGTGGGCAGATATACAGACTTGCAAGAAATCAAGGAAACTGTGGACTGACTGCAACAGAACCAAGACCGCGGATCTGCTTAATAGATCAAGAGTAGGCACTTGCCTCTAGGCAAACATACGACAAAAATAGAGAGACAAAATTTCTTGTGAAAATGACCAGGCAATACGAATATTAGCTATAAAATACTAGGAAAATACATTACAACGCCACTAAAGGACCTATTTCGTACAAGAATTACATCAAAATGGCGTCAAAATATGTTAAGTGTATCATAGCCTATATATCTATAAAGCACTTCAGTCAACCCGAAAATGCTCTCATCTGGTATCTGGCATCGGTAAAAACTCAACGAAGGATCCTATAAAGCTGGCTATAAATAAACCGTACAAAAACAATAAAGAGATACCGACTGCCGTTCATAAGGACCGGTGTACGAAGCTACAGACAGGGAGGGCCCTCTCTGATTTAGCAAAAACACCATCAAATATTTTCAGTAGGCTGCCTCCGTATCACTTCAGCTGGCACAATATAAGGCCGAGTCGCCTTCTAACTAAGACAACCGAAGCCACTTAGTTGATATTACATATTGACTAGGTTTAGTAATATACATACACCTTTGTCATGCACTGAATCAGACGATCTACAAACAGCCTTTGCATATAATTTATCTGGAGAAAATCAATCAAAACTCGTACCATGAAAGCCGTCATCTGGACCACACAACGCTCTTAGACCGAAGAGTCGAGCTTCTAAATGAATTCAACTCCTACTTAGTCGGAATTAAGCTTGCTATACAAAATGTATGACATAATGCACCGAATAATGCTAACCAACTCTTTGCATCCTCACTAAAAGTATGTAACTCATTTAACGCCAGAGTGGTGTCATTTAACTCTAAAGTAGGTATGAAAATGAGTTAAGGAATCTTTCTCCGCGATTGGCTTAAAAGTTTATGGCATTGACCACAGTCTGTTAATGTAGAACTAACTTTCTAAGGCAAAGATCCTTGCGGACTCTTTTGACGTAAGGGATATTTAAATAGTTTAAACTGAATATCTCAATAGTTGTATCGCTTCTCCAGTGATCGTTACTTCCTCATTATATGTAGCTAGTGATTATGTTGTGCCGTTTTAGACAGGGACCGAGAACGCGTTCCGATTTTGGTTTAGTTCTACGTGAGAACAAAATGATATATCAAGAACTTTCCTATTAAAGAACCAACGGTGAACAAAAGTATTGAGAGCAATTTGAACGGGAACAAACTGAGAACAAAAGGTGCGGGAACGTTTTCGTAGAGAACGAAATGCGAACGGAAATTTCGGGAAAGTTCTCAAGAAGAACAGAATGAGAACGAAACTTTCGGGATCGTTTTCAATGAGAACAAATATATCGACAACGTTTTCAACGAGGATCAAATAAGAACAAAAGTCTGGGGAACGTTTTGTTAGAGAGCAAAACCGGAAAGACAGTTTTGACAACTTAACGTTAAGAATGACAGGGACGTCAGCGTGTTTATATGAAAAACCGTTTGAATGAGAACCACGACTGTTGATTCTAAGCCAGAGGAAATCTGGATCATTTCAACTTCCAGATCGTGCATCATTAGGGTGAACTGTCCATTTTTGGAACAATTTTTCACTTTCTGTGCGAAGAAGAAAAAAAAACAAAAGTTCGTGTCTTAAGTCGTTCGTTAGTCAGTTCTTTTTTGATTAATTTTAATATGCAAACATTTGTGGTTTTAGATATCCCTCCATAATTCACAGAGATACCCTCGGACAAAACCAAAAGCTATGGCTGCCAGCACGTGCCACACAGTGTGCTATTTTAAAGCTTATGAGATGAATAATTCAGTAAATACTGTTCCTTTGGAAAGAAAAATTACCTTGACTATTAAAATTACTTCAAAAATAGGTTTTAAGTTTTATATTTTTTGGCCTGAAACTAGGCTGTAATGTACTTTTTAAAAACTTTTAAATAGTTTGCTCTTCTTCTGTCAATGAATCCATTTCCATGGTTACAAAAACCAAAAAACGCATTAAATTTTTTTGTTTAAAAGTCTATAGCATGCTGTTTTTTCCTTGGAAGTGAAGGTAATTTTTCATTCAAATATGAAATTTTTGTCTTTGTTTACCTAAAAATAATTCGTGATGAATTAAATATAAGAAGAAAATGCATTCCTTGACACCAGAACAACAAAACATTTATTTAAAATTAAAAAAAAAAAAAATACATTGCAGACTGGTTTCAGGCCAAAAAAAAAAAGAAAAAATGTAAAATCTTCTGCCTTTGAAGGTCAATTTAAAGGTCAAGGAAATTCTTCTATCCAATAAGAGAATTTTTCCTGATTTTTCCATCTCAAAAGCTTTAAACTACCGTTACATATAGTTCGGTATCTATTTTCGTTCTAGGGAGATCTGGTTTTGTCTTTTTCAAAAATAGAACACTGTGTGCCGGTTGGCGAGCTCTTTTGCTTACTTCAAGGACTACCAGAGAGAGATTTTCATATTATGCTGAGGCCGATAATTAGGTAACGCCGACGGTTCTAAATGCTAAGAGCCGGTAGTCCTTTGTTTAGATTGTAAGGAATGCGAAAGAATAAGGCCCCAGGCAGTGAAGAAGCGAAATGACATTATGGATTGTAAATAAATAATATTGTTGGCTACCATAAATATCTTAGGCATTATGTGAAGTAAATTAGCTTGCTATTGAAATTTATACGTATGCAGTTGAACACTACCCTCTGAACTGGATAATCTCCGCCGAATAAATCGTTTGGAACCAGCATAGCCATGGGACAAGTGTCATAGACGGCATTCTTCGCACAAGCTTCCATCATTTCTGTACTGTCTAAAATAGCCTTAGCATGCTTACGAGTATCATCGTCCTATTCGATGAGAATAACTATTGGGGCGCGGAAGTAAAAGGCAACTCGTCCCCACCTCTCAGCCATGGCTTTCATGAATGTAACCTCTGTGGTTCAAAAAAGGAAATCAGTAGAAATGAAGGCCGACCCAGCCATAATTGGAATGTTGTTGTCAGATGACTGTTTGCAGTATACATAAGTACAGTGGCCCAAATATAAATTGGAATTCTTTTTTTTGTTTATTTGATTTTTATAACTAATTTTTGAGAATTTTTTTTTTCGCCGATGTTGTTTGGCCTATTTTAGCCACATGAAATTTACACATAATTAAACTAAAATTGAATGAGCTACAAAACAGCATACCCAGAATTTTTTACAAAATCTCGGATTAAAAAGTTAAAAAAAAAAAATTATAAAAAATTAAAATTTAAAGTTTGTTTGATAATTATATACAAAGTGTGAAAAGTTGATTTATGTGCTGATTTTTATGCATTAAGTTTTCCTTGTATAAAATTTTAAAAAAAATTAAATAAACAAAAGAAAAGTATCAAAAACATGGCAACCTTTTTTATTTCTATTATTTTTTTCCACCACTCAAAATACGCCGTATTCCGAAGAGCAGGGTGGTTGACTATCTATTTTCAGATTCGATGTTATCACTTGATTTTATATCAGAAGTCCAAAGTAAATGTCTTACGTGCCATTTAAAAGATACAATACCCCATAAACATAGCCAAATACCCACCTCATCTTTTTGTTCCTGCTTCAATTTCTTGCTCATCTCCTTGATCTCTTCCATGGGCAAACCGATCTCCTTCAAACTCGCATAATCACACGGATCCACATACAGCTCAATATCATCGGCGTGCGCTTGCATATGCCGCTCAGCAGCCACGGCGTTACACGCAACCGCACGTCCACCGCCAGCGGCATCATTACCCACCAGCTGATCGTATTTCTCCGGTGAGAGTTTCTGAAATTTGTGTTCATTTCTTAGCAAATTCTCATTTGACACCGAATGTAAGCGATGGGTTAAAGCGCCGCTTGGTGAATTGGAATTGTTGCTACCAAAAGTGTTGTGCAATGATGATTCAGTTGTGCAGCTGTCAACACTAGCGCCACCACCACCGCCACCAGCAGCAGCACACTTTTCAAGATGCCTTATGCTGTCCACCGCATCAGAATATTCAATCAATTCTTCGACTGAATGTTGACGTTGATGCAGCGGCTGTTGGTGCTGCTGCCGGCTTAGTGGCGTTGATTGGTGGGTTGTATGTGGTTGTGGTTGTGGTGGTGCAGAATGGTCAGTGTAGGGTGCATGTGTTGGTGGGTGTGACGCTTCGAGCGGATTGCGTTTTTGTTGTTGTTGTTGTGCTGTTGGTGAGTGAAAGTGATTGAGCTGGTGTGGTGGCTGTGGCTGTGCAAATGAGAATGTCTGTACCGATGAGGATGCTGCTGTTGCTGAAGTCATTGCCGCTGCTGCTGAAGAGGATGACGTCGATGCAGCTGAAGCTGACGAAATGGATGACAAGGAGTGTTGATGCTGATGCTGCAGATGGATGAGATGAATTTGTTAGTTTTGTTGTTAGTAAAGAGTCATTGTTCATTGCGCGAAAGCGGTTAGTGTGTGGTTGTTGCTTCATTGAAACTCACCAACAAGTGACCGCCAGCAGATGAGCCGCTGCTGCCGCTGCTGCTGTTGCTGTTGCTGTTGCTCAGTGCATTTAGTTGTGATCTGTTGTGTTGGCGTGTGGAAGATGTTGGTGGCGATGGTGAATCTACTGCATTTGCTAATGACGACAATGCTGCTGATGTGGTTGTTATAGGTGATGATGTCTTTTGTACCGTTAGGCCTACATAACAATCAGTTTGTGAGAAATGCTGTTGTTGCAATAGAAATGATGTGGGCGACAATTGTTGTTGTGACTGTGGCTGTTGTGGTGATTGTGATAGCTGTTGTTGTTGTTGATGCTGATGATGTCTCGAATGCTGACTACTACTACCACTACCACTATTACTACCGAAATATCTACCGTTCGATGTTGAGGGTTCATTTGGATTCTGTTGCAAGATACTTGCTTTAGCTGGACGTGGCGGTGGCGCATGCGCCTTTCCGCGCATTGGTGGCGGCAAATTCACATAGAGCTCCTGCAGTGAGTGCACAAAAAGTTAAATTAATATGAATGCACATTAGGGCGGGTCAATTTGCATGGGAAATTTTTTCGACTATGCGCATATGGCACGGAAGGATTCTACTTGTAAATCTAAGCAAATTGCCGAAGATGGTTTAAAATCAATTTAGAGTTTGCCGAATTGCGAAAATAAGTTGCTTAGCATTTTGCTGTAGTGTCGTAAAGAAGTGCCTGAATTTTGTGTAAAAAAATGAAAGCATTTCTGCACTTATATTTTTCTTTAAACTTCCACCAGAGTGCGCAACAGTGAAAGTTTTCACATTTTCTTCAAAACCTATTTTCGCAATTTGGCAAACTCCAGAGTGATTTTAGACCCATGGTTTCTTTGGCACCTTTACTTAGAATTATACGTAGACCCCGCCTAAGTTATACGCGCACAGCAAAAATAAAAATGACCCGCCCTAATGTATCAACATCGAAAATCATAAATAATGCAACACGCGCGTCTTTCACCTGCATCTGCTGCGCCATTTCTTCGCTCTCCAGCAACTCTCTTTGCCTCTGTTCCTGTAAGTCACGTTCCAACTTTTCGGCGATCTCCTTCGCTACACGCTTATCATATGCTTCCCTGTGGTCACATAAAATATTTCACCTTAGCGTCCGACTACATACAAATGTTTATAATTTTATTGCACTTACTGTTCGAGCAGTCGACGTCGATACATCTCCACTTGCCGCTCGGCCTGTTCCTTCTCCTTGATTTGCTCATTCAGAGCGGTGGGAAAATCCTCACGTACCACAGCGTTTCGCTGTCGATTGCCTTTGTAGAAGTCATTTACTGTTAGAGAAGAATTGCAAAATATGAATTATGTATGTGTGTGTGCCATAAGTTATAAACTTTAGTTCCGTTTGTTCATTTTGTACTTTGCTAAGGGACATGACTTACTTTCTTGTGATTGCAATTTATAGGCGAGCGCGCTGTCTTCACGTACCAGCCATTCTTTACACACTGCAATAGAAGAAAGAGAGGTGAAAAAAGTTAAAGCTAAGCCAATAAAATGCATAATAAAAAATTATGAAGATACAAGATAAAACTTATGTCTATACTAAATAGTTACATTTATAGCAGTGGTATGGACCATTCATTTGCTGAACTTGCAACAGGTAAACGAATTCAAAGCTTTTAATAACTAACTGAGTAATACCGCCTCTCTAACGAGTCGTTTAACTTTCAAAGTTCAACTTTTGTCACGACCTCGCGGCGAACTTCTAACATAGAATTGAAAATTTAATATCGTTCCAGCTGATGAAGAGATTGCTGTCGTTGTTATAGCATCACAGCTAAGCCCTACCTAAATTGACTAAATTTAGTCTCAAGCCCAACTAAGGTGACACACCTGTCCAGACATATATTGACCAACCACTGGACCCGACTACGTACCGACGAGTGATCCACGGCATTAATAGGGAGTCGGTCACCACCTGCCAGGACTCCCGGCTTATGAATGCCGTGATCAGAGCCTAAGCACAACCTTTATCAGACGCAGAGCTTCAACTGCCAAGAGAACCGCGTTACTCTGGCCCAGTTACGGTCTGAATATTGGAGCCGTTTCAGCAGCTACATGTCCAGACTCAAACCCGGTAGATACCCCCAATGAGAGTCCGGCGTGTTTAGGCTCCCCGCACGACACCAACCACCTCTTTACATGCCAGCTCAATTCCACACCACTAATACCCCTTTGGTCCGACCGGTGGACAACGCACTTCCGAAACAAAATTCCCTATCGACGATATAAATTTAAAATACAAACTTGTAAACTACTTATTTCCGAGGGGCGCACTTAACTAGCGAACGGCAGATGGGATCCGAAATAAGTCGCAAAACCTCCAGGAAAGTGTGGCCGGTGCTTAGCTCTAAACGCACTCCACTTTGGGTGAACGATCCTACTATAACTTGCAGGGGTGCAAATCAGGGCTTTTAAAAAAGTTCTTGCGAAGTTCAAAATGGTTTTAGGAGGGATGAGGAGTTTCTGACCCCACATGAAGCACCAAAATGGGCCTTAATCCTGAGTGTGTCTTACAGACGAACGCGATAAACTAACCTAACCGAACCAAGCTCAACTAAGCGGAGGCCCTAATAAGGTGCTATTTTGATGGGGTCCCCTGGGGTCTCGTCATTTTGTGCCCCCTTCCTCCTCCGACTTGGCAAGCTCGAGTCGTCGGGAGTAGTCAAGTCAAGTAGTCGCTTTCGAAGAAAAGCGTAATTAAGATGCCAGTTAAATATTAATCGACCGGTTTGTCCTCACCGATTCGCTGGGTATATATTAGGCATCCATATTTTGTACATATTTCAATCCCTTAATTCCCTGAATTCTAGTTCAATTTTACTTTTTAAATCGGTGGCAACTCAGCTACATGTAGTTTAGAAATTAGGCCTTTTGAAACCCCTTTTCCACAGATATGCATATAGCAATAAGCCATTTAACTTATTAAGTAATTCGACTTTTTAAATATTTAGAGTTACCAACAAACAGCTTAACAATCTTTCGGTGGTTACACATATTTTAATATTTGATATAATTTCTTAATTTTTTTTTATTGAACTCGACTTTTTAAAAGGGTGGTAGCATTCTTAAAAATATTCCGAAACCACTATCTACTTAAAAATCTTTCCTCTGGCAGCCATTTATGTGCATTGTCTTATTCTCTTAAATCAGGTTGAATTTTACTTTTTATAACAGGTGGCAACCCTCCTAAAAGTAATTTAGAAATGAAGCCATGAGAGCAGAACTGGCCTAAGCAACAATTATTATTTGTTGGACTTTACTTCTTAAACTAGTTTCAAATGGGAAAAATTTTAAAAGAAAGGTCGCTTATTCCTTAATTTGATGGTACGCTAAGCAGCAGAGATATCTGAAAATTAAGGAATAAGCGACTTTATTATAAAATTTATCACATTCGAGACTATTTGAAGTAGGTCAGTACAAACAAAAAAAAAATTGCTTGGGGTTAGGCCACTACGGCAACCTTGGTCGAAGCCTTTGAAATAAAGAAATCCTCCACCAAGGTAATTTTAGGATTCAGCAAGAAAACCGATCCAATCCAACAATGGTACAACAAACGCTCTTCCGCTTATTAACTCATAAATATGTAAATTCCCTAGAGCTGATTATGGTAATTTAGAGAATCGAATACTTCATAGAAATGCCCGCGGGTCGCATAAATATACATATATACGTAGTACACAGTACACATGTACATATGTATATAAATCGACTAACATGAAAACTCGACTTTCACATAAAATGATCAAATTACGCATCATTATTTTCGAGTGAACTCGCCACAGTTAAAGAAAAAGAACACGAGAACAAATAAAAAACGAAAGGGATTAAAAGAAAAAAAAAAAAAATAATTATGATAAATACGAAGCCAACTCAAACTTGAATGACAGACTGTCTACCTACTACTAGTTAACTGGCGTTATTGGCGTTAAACGTATGGGTAAGAATTCAGATACACTGGTCATTGGGGAGTTACAAGGAATTTCAATCGAAAATGTGAGGGGCGGATGAATATATACATACATAAGAATTGTGTTTGTTTAAGACGAACTTTACACGATTGTTACATTCTTGAATTTGTAAGTGACGGTGGGAAAGAAGAAATTGTTAAGTAGTTGCATCTGATTACCGGGCGATTGTGGTAAGATGAGTGAGTGACGGTGGCGGTGGCGATGGCGATGGCGAGCCATGAGTCATGCGAATGCAGCAAAGCATAAAAGGAGAAGATGAAGGTATATGCATCTGCTAGATACGTATGTACATATGTACTATAACAATTTTAAGTTAAAGGTAAATGGGGACAGTAAATCAAACAAAGAAATTCCTGCGTAATGACGAGCAACCAAGAGAATACATAGTATTGGACTACACTGTTAGTGAGGGAACAACGAGTGGGGATTATTGCCGCAATACTTATCTATTGAAGTAATCGCATGCGATCACTTGTGCGTTAATAAGTGTGGCATAACCCGGCAGTTAATCGTATTATCTCAAAGCAAGTATGTAAGTATATACAATAAATCTATATATATGTATGTATATAAATGTAGCCGTTTTCTTTGTGACCAATTGGCTCAAAAACCGATGAACGGATTTCAACCAACAGTTTATGTATTACTTAGGATCGCGGCAATATCATAGGCTATAGTATTTTAAGACGCTAGATGGCGCAAGAGTCGAGATACTCAGAAAATCTGTATTTATGATCCGATTTCGATGAAATTATAAGCGTATAATGTGGGTATGATGGTAAAGAATCATACAAAAATGGATCGGCTAGGTGGCGCTAGAGTCGAGTTATTAAAAAAATTTGTTTTTTTTTTCAAGCAACAGCTCAATAACCGCTTAAAGTCGCTATGAATTCTTCGTAGCTAGAAGTAAAATTATTTTCCTACTACATCGTCGAACGGAACGTTAAGCGTCGCTTAAGTAACTTATTAAGGTCATTTTAAAGGTCAAGGAAAAGCCTTCTCCATAAGTTTATATTCCAACACATTGGTTTAGTCTGCCGAATTTTTTAAGGGACTACATTGTTCCGAACTTTAATAAAAGAAACCAGTTTTAGATAAGTCGGAAATAGTTGTGAAATCGAGCTAAGTATTGAAGAGTATACTTACTAATTATAAGTTTATTGCCAGTTCCAAACTATAAGAAACGACCTAACTAGATGCCGTCTGTAGAATATGGAATATATGTACATATTACTTCCGTGTTTCCAAAAAAAGCGCACAGCATAAAATATTTAAATTTTGGCCTGTTTCGGCACCTTTTCGAGGCCAGTTCACGACTACTTGAGGACCACTTTGGGACTTGTTCGGAATCATTTTGGGACATGTTGAGGAATATTTTGGGACTAGTTCGGGATCATTTTGGAAAGTAGTAAGGGACCATTCCCAGACCCTTTCACAACTTCTTCGGATTCATTTCGAGGCAAATTCACTTGTTTTTCTACCGTTTCAGGGCCTGTTCAGGCCTATTTCAGGACTTGTTCGGGATAATTTTAGAACATGTTGAGGACCATTTTGGGACTTTTTCGGGATTGTTTTAGGACATGTTGAGGACTATTTTGGGACTTGTTCGGGATCATTTTAGGAACTAGTAAGGGACCATTCCCAGACCGTTTCGCAACTTCTCCTAATTCATTTCGAGACAAATTCACTCATTTTTCTACCGTTTCGGGGCCTGTTCAGGCCTATTTCAGGACTATTTTATTTTGGGTCTACTTCGGGATCATTTTAAGATCTGTTCAGGACTATTTCAGGCACATTTCGGAGCTATTTCTGGACGATTTCGGGACTAATTCTGGATCATTTGAGACTAGTTCAACACTCTTTCAGTTCAGAACCATTTCGGGGCTGGTTTCAGGACCATTTTCTGCCTGGTCCAGGACTATTTCAGAAACACTTCGGGCCTAGTTTGAGATTATTTTGGTACAAGTAAGGGACCATTTCGGTGCAAATTCATGACTTTTTCAGAACCACTTCAGGACAATTTTGGGCCTACTTCCACATCGTTTCACGATAGTTCGAAACTGATCACGATATGATCCGGAAATAGTGCTGAACTATTCCCGAAAGGGTTATGAAAATATCGTGTACTGGTCCCGACAAAATGAATAAAATGAAATGAAACTAATGTTTAATTGCGAACCTCACCTATTTATCTTTGATCTGATAGGTCTATGTTTCTAACAACAGCTCTAATGTGTCAAATACCCTTTGGATTTGAAAAGCACGCACTTAAGTACAAATGTAAATAATGTTGCTCTTCCGCACTGCGTCAATTCGGTGGAAGATGATAGCTCTGAAGTTGCATGTAATCAAAGTTCATGTCATTTATCATTAATCACGCTATTTATGTATTTATATACACATTTACATACACATATATATAGTTTACATACATACATAACTTAGTTTTCTAGTTTTTTTTTTTCTAACGCAAT